TATAATAATAGAACTTGACTCCTTTGCACGTCTATTATTAGTCTCATATATTTTTTTTTACATATTTAATGGATATTCTGCTATGTTTTATTTCAGTTGAGAGTTTTTCAGAAATAATCTTCTATTTCATAAAATAAGGATAAAAATTGTGTATTTATTATTTTCAAATTTCACTATAAAAATTATATTGAGTATGTTATTTATAGAATATATTATTTTCTCTCTTTCAAGAAGATCTGTTTCTTATATGTTATTGGCTATTTCAAAACCATTTTCAACCCAACATTTTTGAGTTGTCAATATCAATATGGGCAGTGGAGATATATCTGTTTCTAAAATTTGATTGGCTTATACTTACTGTATTATGTCCCACATTTTATAATGTTAGGACAATTATATCATAAATATATTTTAAAAATTGCCTTATCCAACCGACTATCACCTGTCCTTTTAGCCACTTTGATAAATAAATACTAATTTTTTCCTCCTATACTATGACTAGTAAGGATTTAACTTCGGTAAATACCTTTTCATTCTTAATCAAAGTTTCGAGTTCGAGTCTTCATGAGTATAAAATTTTCTTTGTTCGAGAGCATTTTACCCCTTAATGTAGGACTTTTTAGCCCGAATTCGAATTTAATCGGACTTCAATGTAGGTATCGAACACTGAGTGAGAAATAAAAAAAAAAACTATGGCATTTTTGTTGCCAAAATGCCACTTAAATTATGGCCATACTAATTGTTTGTTTATACATATCTTAAGTTGTTAAAATATGAAGGGATTCGACCAACTATACAATTATCTTTGTGTGATTTGTAGGTTAAGAAATTTGATATAATGCTTTATATTAGGATAAACTGTCTACATTATACCCCGTTGATAATTATTTACCTCTTTAGAAAAACATTTGAAAATTCATTATATTTTGAAAAGAGTGAAACTTATAGTTTCTAAACATATATTTAAAATTGTATTTATAACAATCAACGTTAGTCCGACCAGTGAACACTAGATACTCGATGGACAAATTGAAATAAAAACAAATAAATATATTATAGCACAACGATTATTAACCCTTGCCTTTAACCCACATGAGTTATAGTGGGATATGTTTGATCCACTAACTTCCTTCATTTTTAATCAAAAAAATTATTTTCAAGCTTTTAGAAATAATCTTTTTGATTATTGAAAAGGTCAAATTAGATCATGCGATAAGCAAATTCAAATTAGTTCAAATCTTAATACAAAAATCGAACGCCAAATTGAAATTTTTTTTACATTAATTGCCTTTAGAGTGAGCCATATATCTCTTTCTAAAAGCTGCCCTTAACTATAACATAAAATATCTTCACATAAATTATAATTGACATAATCCATAATGGACCTTGTTTATTTTCTACACTAACCTTTATTAGACTAATAATAACAACTAAACTAAGAGACAAAATTAGGTTAAAATTTTATAATTTTTTTTTTATGAAAGTTGGCTGGATTGAGACCCAAGAGATGTTGTCAATTTACTAAATATTAGTTGAGAATATCCTCAAAGTTTCCATAGAGGTGATGATGTGTCCAAATTATATAAGTCAGATAAATTTTTAGTTAATAGTTATAGTCATTATTAATATTAATCAACATAACACATGCCATTGTCAATTAACTAACACTTCGCCCACCTGAGATATGATTAAAAATCAAGTTATGTTCAATATTATGTAAGACAAGCCTACATACACAAAATATTGCGAACTTTTATATATACTATTAGGAATATATATATGGTCTCTGTAATGTTAATATATATAGTAGGAATATATAAAAAAATAAACACTCGAAAAAGCATAACACATTCAACATATATCTTTTGAATAAAAAAAATATCTTATGAATGATCCGATAACGTATATATACCGAACAAACAAATGGTTAGGTCAATCTAATTAATATTTTGTAAGATTCCTAACCACACACTAGGGAATTCAGTTTCAAGGAATATATTATATATAGTACGAATATACAAGATTTTTTTAAATGTTGTGACACTTTCATAAACACCTTTGTCTCATAATTAGTCCTAATTAACTAATCTGTCTATGATCGATGTTCAAGTGCAATAACTACTAACAATATTATTAGGAAAAATGACAAATCAAATTATATTGCCACAAGATCGATTAATTTGGTTTCACCTTTGTCTCATAATTCGAATATTATTAGAATTCGAATTTGAATTATTTGATTAAGTCCGAAGGAATTTCAGTTATTAATCTTATTACATCCCTTAATGGTGCGTCTTTAGTATTGCGTAATAAGTCATCTCAATAAAAGAAGTACGCACATAAAAAAAAATTAATTGTAAAATACCTTTTAATTAATTAAGCAAATACTTAGAGAGATTAAAATATTGTTGTCACATTTGTTCCCTTTTTAGGGCACGTATTCACTTATTTATATGATGATTCAAAACTTTTAACCTATCAATTAAGGTAGAGTGTGTTTATTCAACCTTATAAATAAAATATTAGATTGTCTTTTAGCTTTTGCGGTAGCTTACAAAATTTGTGATTATTATTTAACATTTTCTCGTAAGATTTTCAGTTTGCTCAGAATAACTTTAAAATACAGTCTAAAAGATCTACAAATTACAAAAAAAAAACACAAAAAACAGTCATTTACTTAACAACTGAAATACTCTTTAAACTATGGTCTAAAGAGTTCGTAATCTAATCTAATGGTCTAAAAAAGTAATCATGTACAAAACATTTAAATTTTATCTGTATTTTTATAAGCCGTACAAATAGAGTTCTTGGGGGAACTATCCTTCCCGACAGTGGTATGCTCGAATTTAATATTTTCTCATATTATTTGATCTGACAAATAAAATATTAGACTATCTTTTAGCGTTGGCAATAACTTTTAATATTTGATATCAATATATAATATTTTCTCATAAAATTTTCAGTTTGCTTAAAAAAATCTTTAGACAGTAATTTTAAAGGTTCATCAATTACAAAAAATAAATAGTCATTAATTTACCAAACTACTGAAATTCTCTTTGAGACTATGGTCTAAAAAGTTCATTGTTTAATCTAATGATATAAAAAATAGTAGTAATTTACTAAATATCTATATTTTATTCCTATTATTAAAGTCGTACAAATATAGTCCTTCCAGAAATTGATACGCTCAAATCTAATATTTTGTCATATGGCCCCTTAGCATATATTATATTCAATCTTACAAATAAATTATCAGACCTTCTTCTAGCATTTGCACCTCATTCCACAATCATGCCCTCGTTTGAGTATGCACAAAGTAGATATTTAAATTTGTATGAAATTGAACAAATAAACACACACGTCTTATATGAAAAATTATGTCTTACGTGTATTATGCCGTGTAAGACTCATGTGTTTACTTGTTCAATTTTATACTCGTTTAAATGGTTATTTGTGTACATTCAAAGTTGAAGGACATAAATAAATGATGACAAGTCAAATGATACATTTATGTATTATGCCGTTATAAAAATAAGAGAAATAAAAAGAGAGCCATTTACTAAATGGCAAAAAATAGCCAAATCCTCTTGTCTCTTATCACTTTTGTTGACATTATAGAATTGACAGGAGAAGGAGAAAGTGGGCCCAAATACACGAGGCTAGCTCGTGAAGTTCACGTGTTATGTAGGCCCAATAAATGGCCCATTTTAGAACAACAAGTTGATCTCCCATTTCACTTTCTCCAATTGCCATCTTACCAACAAGACATTTTGGCCCAATTTCTACTCTCTTGTCTGAAATCCATCAAGCACTTTTTATTTTTTTATTTTTTAGGGAAAAAGGAAAAATATACCCCAAACTATCGTAATGGTATGCAGATACCCTCCGTCATACTTTTGGGACATTGGTGCCCCTGCCATCCAAAAACTAAAGCATATATACCCTTTATACTAACAGATATACACGTGTCATAATCTTATCCATCGACCCGACATTTATTAAATATCGGATTGACGGATAAGATTGCGCCATGTGTCCCTATTTAGTCTTCCGTTAGAGTGAAGGACATATATTGCTCTATTTTTTGGACGGCAGGGGCACCAATGTCCCAAAAGTATGACGGAAGGTATCTGCATACTATTTACGATGGTTTAGGGCTATATTTGTCCTTTTTCCCTATTTGTTTTATATATTATCATGGTGTATCAAAAATAAGTGCTCTATCTTTGAGGTAGAGATTCGATTGAGTATACTTTATCCTCATCATATCTCACTTGATGGACTATACTGGGTATATTGTTATCGTTGTTGCTGTAATCATAGTGTATCAGTTAATTTACATGCATCGTGACTATTTTTCGGAGTGCCTACTATCTCTTACTAGTACAGGTACCAAGTAACTTTGTTCACCTAGAATTGAACAGATGAGAAGAAATCATCTCATGTTATATACATAATGTTATTTTTTCCCACATGAGATTGTGCATTTTTTTGGGGTGGGTAGGGGGTGGAGCGGGGGATAGTCGACTTGGCTATCGATGAAAAATCTAAAAGGTGTTTGCCGAGGTTTATAAGTTAGTCAAATTAACTTATAAATATATATTTTAGCTTATTTACTTAAATATCTTTAAAGGAAATACTAGTATTTAGCAGTAAATTGCTTATCAAACACATCAAATGTCTTTTATCAATTTAAGTACCTTATTAGAGTACTTTGATTACAAATATTCTCTACTCTTATGTTTTGATCTATTACACATGGCAATTTGCAATTGGGTACTAACCAAAAACCTATATATATATATATATATATATATTCAAATCATAATACATTACCACCAAAAAAATATGGTGCGGTGAATGAGATTGCGCCTCCCATAAATCAGAGGTCTCGAGTTTGAATCTTGAATATAAAGATAGGGAGTGCTTCTCCTCTAAATGAGGCTCTACGTGACGTGAATTCAAAATACTCAAGCTCTAATATAGTAACGGATACAGAGTGAAAAAAAGCCATAATACACTAAACAATAAGTGGAAAATCTATGGAAAAAATGAGGAAAAATAATTCAACATTATGATGAAAACTAAAGATTAGAAAAGGTCTTCTAAAATTAAATCAGAAGGAAGATCATATCCAAAAACCATTGAGTAATCATTAACTTCATCACTTGTAAATTTTGGTATTCTCCAACTTTTTGCTGCCTCAGAATCATCCCCATATCTCAACAATTCTAACACCTAAAATTAAGAAAAAAAATATAACCGATCATAATTTGTTTGAGACTGAGACATTATACTATATAACTAATCACGATATAAATATAGTATTTTACCTCAGTCGTTGACGGGCGCCATACTGAAGATTGTCTTACACAATATGAAGCTGTAAGAACCATTTTATGCAATTCGTCCATATTAAATTCACCCTCCAACTTTGGATCTGCTAATTCAATTAATTTTCCACCTTCCATCAAGGGTGTCGCCTTAAAAATAGAGAGTAACATTTTAGCAGTTAATTAGAAAAAAATATCGAATAAATTATATACATAACAAATACAAGTTTATAAATATCTTATCATCCTTCATATTTATTTATTTTTGAAAAAAATATCAAAATATATTTCTTGAAAAATTATAATTTTTAGATTTTTTTTTGCCTCCATTAGATCACACGTCATTTTCATATCCAACTTAGTAAGAAAAAAAAGGGTTAAAAAGACAAGCCAATGGGATTTTTCTGAGAGCAATTATTATTGTTATTAAATCTATGGACCAATATCCAAGATATTGTTGTCTTTTTCATTAGATTTTTTTTTCAAGAAATTCCAAATAAAGTAAAAATCAACAACAAACTATTTTTTCCGTTTTAATTTAGAGAACATATTTGACTAAGCACAAAGTGTAAATAGTATTTAATAAAGAAAGTACTTTTCCGTTTCAATTCATATGCGTACTTTTTTTTTTAGTCTGTTAAAAAAAACGCAACACGTACTTTCTTCTTTAGAAATAATTTTACTTTAAACTTCTCGTATTATCCTTAATAGTATGATTGATTTATAGCCATACAAATATATATTAATCGTTTTAAACTATAAGTTTTAGAAGTCATGTTTCTTTCTTTCTTTCTTAAACTGATACTACAAAAAAGAAGAAGTTGCAATTATTCGACGCTAATTTGTTCGTAGCTAACCAAATTTCATAATTATCCATCACTCAATACAATAAGTGTTGTTTAACTACAAAATTTATCCGATACTAGTTTCTATTTAATTAGTTGTGCACATGTCCCTAAAACTCCTCCACACAAATTGTGACAGGAGAAGTAATACCTTTGAAACTTGTGAACATAAACATACCATAACATCTTTGTAAGTGTAAATTTTTTTGAAACTTATGATCTTACATATGGCATAATATATGTATATGTGATTATAGAAGCTTTTTGCTAATACTAAAAATAAGGTTTAAATTAAATATTCTTTTTGAAATGAACTAAAAAAATAGCGTTAAAAGGAATAAATAAAACTTACCCATAAAAGTAGATTTTGTCTTGATGAGTCCACAGGCCTTCTACCAGTAATAATTTCAAGAAGAAGAACTCCAAATGCAAAAATATCTGTTTTTTCATCCACAATTCCATGCATGAAATATTCTGGTGCTAAATATCCAAATGTGCCCTCAATTGGAATTACAGCATGGTGTGTCCATTTATTTGGTAGCCATTTTGCTAGCCCAAAATCTGATATCTTCTCAAAAAAAAAAAAAAAGAAGATGAAAAATGATATATAAAAAAGAAGAAACTTTTCATTCATCTTTCTTTTTTTTTTGGTTTCCCACCCCCGAATGACTCTCGCAGTGCACAATTCGAATTTAGTCAGGGCTCTAATGTGGGCTCCGGACATCGGGTGAGAAATAAAAAAAATAAATCATCGTTCAATCTTCCATGTTGGTACAAAAGTAGAAATTATAGAGGCTAGCCACTTTTCGAAAAAATAATAATCAGTATTTGAAAATTCATTAAAAAATTAATCAGTTTTGATATAGAAATAAATATCACGATATTGTTATGTATTTTAAATCTATGACACGTATGACCATAGATTTTGAACTTAAAAAAAATGTGAAACTCTATGATAGTCTATTTTAAGAATATAAGAGGAAAAAAAAAGTAGAAGGGTAATGATTGCAGGAGCTAGCCACCTTTCGGATTAGTTTTTAAAAAATAGCCAATGTTTGAAAATTTGTTGAAAAATAATCATTTTTGATGTAGAAACACCATGATAATTATTGTAGAATTCGAACTTAAACAAGTGAAAAATTCAGGACATATTCATGACTTTATTTAATCCTTGACACTTACATTAATTTCAAACTTACGAAAAAATGAAACTTTGACAAAGTCTTGTATATTTTATCTACGATATTGTAATAGAATTTCACCTTTTTAAAAATTTGAAATTCATGAGACTAGGACAATATTATGGTCTCATGAATTCCAAACGTATCTATTTCTCAATGACTTTTGAATATTTGGTTATTTTTCAAATCAAGTTCGAAAATGGCTATTTTTTGAATCTTACCCGATAGAAGAGTTAGTAAATATACAGAAAGCCCGATAAAAATTGCGAAAAAAACATGCTTTATGAGTTGTACCTGTGGCTCATAGTCTGGTCCTAGTAGAACATTTGATGCTTTGATATCACGATGTATTATACGATGTTTACAACATTTGTGAAGATAATGTAAACCTCTAGCAATTCCAAGGGCAATTTTATATCTCATTGGCCATTCAAGTGATTTATTTGATTTTCCTACAAAGAAGCCAAAAAAAAAAAGTCAAAAATTGATGGTCAACGTAAAATGTTCCAAATCCCTTATATAATATATGTAAAAATTATACAATGTTGTCAATATTTGCAGAGGTGAAATAACGATTTATTAAACGCCATTACTTGGAAGGTATTATAAGTTTTAAAAGTTGAAAACTTGAATCCATCTGGTTAAAATTACGAATTCACCCCTAACAAGATCATGGTGTGCATACAAAAAACCATATATATATATATATATATATATATATGTAGAAAATGCTAGTAGCTAGCTAACAAATTGTTCTCCGATGATCTATCATTAATTTGTCCAATCAAATTTTAATACTGGATATGATTCACTAGCTGGTAGACATAGCAAATAAGCCAACAATAGTAATATAGTGGAACATGCATTATTCAACTTGATTAACGTGAATTAATTTTATTGTTTAACTACATAATCGATATAACTAGTATGAAATGAAAAGAGTAAATTAGGTTAAAAGGCATACCATGTAATGCTGAAGAGAGAGTGCCATTGGGATAGAATTTGAAGATGAGATAGAATCCATTTTCAATGCAATAACCAACTAAACTTGCTGTATTTGGATGATTAACATGGCTAATTACACCTAATTCCATTAGAAATTCTTTTTCTTTGTTCATATTATTGCTGTCTTTTGCTAATCTTTTTACTGCAATTCTTCTTCCATCTTCAAGATCTCCTCTATATACATCTGAGTATCCTCCTTGTCCCACTAAATTCTCTACAAAAAGAAGAAATAAATCAATGACATTTCACAAAATTGAAATTTTATACCATTAATTAATTAAATTCATGATTTAATTAAGGGGTTTATTTTCCTTCCCCAAATAATAATTACATCTCAGTCCCAAACATAATAATTACGTCTAGTCCCAAACATTATATATATCCTTACTATTTTATTTAGGTTCAACACATAAGGGTTGCGGTATACAATGCTTTGCAACGTGACCTTAATAAGGGTGATCTTGAACTTTTACCTAATCTCCCGCCGCATAGACAAAAATAACTTATGCACATAGTACAACTACAACTAATTATGCCAGATAGGCAACATAGATCATATTTTAAATTAATTTTGTTAACCGGAGTCAAAAGTTCAAGACTAATACCCTTCATTGTGTACTATTTTAAAGAAAAAATTTCCCTTAATTTAAAAAGCTAAACTTAGCCCATTGGACTAAGGGGGACATAATTCAAAGAGTAGCCTTAAAAGGCCATTTGGTCAAATATATGTATATAATTCATGTATAACATATGTATCATTGTGCATAAATAATATATAATCTATATATATATATATATCGATTAGAAAAATTTAACAGTAAATCTGTCGAGCTATTTATGTGAAGATCCTTTCCGAAAGAGGTAAAAGACATACTAATATATATTACACATGAAGAACACAAACCTGGATGGAAATAATTTGTAGAACTTGCAATCTCCGCATAGCTAAAACACTTCAATGGAGACATTGGTTTATTTTCCTCATTTTGAAATCTTGAACTTTTCTTCCTTGAGCTCGAATCAAAAGGTGAACGTAAAAAAGACGAAATTCGCCTCAATGGAGACATTGGTTTCTTGAAATGATCTTGTTGATATTTGAAATCCTTAGTCACTAATGATGATGATAATATTGAAGATTTAGTGATGGAATTTTCACCAAAACTTGAACTATTTTCTTCTCCTTCACAACCATTTAGTACAGTTCTTGGTGAATTCCTTGTAATAAGTTGTTTTTCTGAAGAAGGGGAATTATTTTCTTTAAGCCATCTTGTACTAGGTTGATGATTTTCTGCATACAAGTTTTATTTCTGACGTTAATTTCACGTATGACTATTGAAATTTATTCAGTATAATATAACAGTAAAATCACGAGTTTTTTAAAGTCACGTACTCACATTAAAATAAGAAAAGTTTATACACTATATAGAGGTAAAGTCATGGCACAATTATTTTTTGTCGCATTAAAATAACTGAATTGTATCAACTGTAATAGAATGGTAACGGAACTTTATCCACTATAACGATAGAAGTGATTTTACTGTAATAGTGGGTAAAGTCTATGACTTGTTATGATTGATAAAAGTTGCCTTTTTTGATGTGAAAAAAAAGTGTGCGATAGTGACTTAATTGTTATAGTAGGTAAAATTTAGTTACTTTGACGTGATAAAATATATAGTTCTGTGACTTTATTATTATTGTGATGAGTAAAGTTCAGTGACAATACGTAAAATCATCTTAATTTTTGTGTGATAGGAAACTGAATTACCTTGGATTCGAATGGAATTGGATTGAATGTTATGTGGTGGTGGTTGCCCTGATTTTCTAGCTACCACAACTAGTGAACAATTATCTGGAACTCTTTCACAACAATACTTTGCAATTGTGAATGGATATCTGAAAAATATATAAAAAATAAAAATAAATAACAATAAGTGTCTTTTAAGAATACAAAATACTAATAATGTGCAAATTTTCGATGAATATTTCTATCAGAACATCATCGAAAATGTGAAGCTGTCAAAACAATTTTCGACGAGCACAATTATGACAAATCTCATAAAAAGGTCATCGAAAATTCATGTGTTTCTAATAATGACATGCAAACGAAAAAAGATTATTTATTTTTGGTACTGTCAGTGTATCAAAGTTAATTTCTTAGAGTAAATTAAAGTTACCTGCAAGTTTTATTCTTTTTGCCACCAATGAGAAGATAATCAGCTGGAATACTTTTAGCCTCTTTAATTAAACCTCTCCCTGGATTAGAACTAAAACCAACTCTTGCCTCTAAACCTACCTGAAATTTTTTCAATAAATTAAATCAATAGAAATGACAAGACGTTTTATAATATTAATTGGAGTAAGATAATTAGACTTCTCGGATTTGAGTTTAGACTATAAAAAAAATCTTGATAGGTAGCATTTGACTTTATGTGACGAGAATCTGCGGTCTAGAAGCAAAATTGGATAAAGGTGAGTTTAGGTGGACAACATGGAAAATAAAGGTCAATATAGGGAATTTTTACAATGATCAACCCTAATGAAGTCTGGGATTGAAATGTAATTATTATTGTAATCGAAACGATGGAGAATAATTTCTTAAAACTTATAAAGCAAAAAAATTCTTGAAAAATACAAGTGTTATACCTGTTTATACAACAACAACAATATATCAAATTCAGTGTAAATGCACAAGTGGGGTACATGGTATAGAGAAGGTAGAGTATACGAAATTTTACAAGTGGGGTCTAGAGAAGGTAGATTTTATGGAGTTCTTGCCTCTACCTTTGAAAAGGTAGATAAATTGTTTTGAAAGATGTTCGACTAAACAAACATCGAAAAAGAGGCAATAGCAACAAATAGAAACAACAACAAGATAATAAGATTGAGAAGCTACCTGTTTATATTGACATGTTTTTGTAAATTCTCCCATCATAGAAATAACAAATGCTTTTGCCTTTCGAATTTGAGTTTGATTTTTTGATATAGATTGCCATTTCTTGCTTTCTTCTTTCCTTTGATCACCAAATCTCTTGCTTTTCTCTGTTGCCACTGTTTCATCAATGACCAAAATTTTTAAAAAGAAAATCAATACATTATACAAATTCTCGGATTAAAAAAAGCTACATTTTTTTTTGGAAAAACATAAAAAAAAAAAAAAAAAACTTGTTTTGCTAACTTTGAAGGACGGCTGCTTCCATGTTACATATGAGAATGTTGAAAATATTCCACAAAGAGATGTATAAAAATCAAGATCCCTCCTATTTTTATTTTTTTTTGTCTTTCTTTATCTTCTTTTTGATTGGTTTAAGAATAAAAAACATTTTAATAGAAGTCACACGTGTCATTCTCCAAGGGTCATTGTCACACTTAAGGGGGAAACAAACAAGAAAATATCACAAAATAAAAATTGTGGTTATAATTGAAAGAAAAATAAACATACTAACAATGTGTAGTTCTATAATTGTATACTTAGGATTAGCTAAATCTCTAATTTCCCAAGTGAGACATATCACACAATACAAAAAAAAAAATAATAACAAATTAAAATTGTGGCTATAATTGAAAGGAAAATATTAAACTTACCAACAATGTGTTGTGCTATAATGGTATCATTAGGATTGGCTAAAACTCTAATTGCCCAAGAAATAAGTTCTTTACTTTCTTCAACATCCAAAGAAATTCCCACAAGAATTTTTGATGGTTTATTAGTATTACTTGAAAAATCCATTTTTTGCCCCAAAAATGTTTTTTGTTTTGTTTATCACTTCTTCACTATCTTTTTTGTTGATGAACACATAGAATTTTAGAAAACTTGTGTAAGAGATATTTAAATGATTAGTGGTATTTATTAGGACTTGTGGTTGGAGTGGGACGGGGAGGGGGTGTATAGTGTGACCACCTTAGCTCATTCAATTATTCTTTCATCAGAAGCATAGGGAAAAAAAGTAGAATGTAACTTTTGGATTTAGCAAAGGTAAAGGAGTTTTTTGCATTTGATTTCTCTTGTTGCATAAGTTTTGTACATATTGTTTGGTAGGTAAAGTTGTGTGCCACTCAAATGAGTCATTCTTTTTACTCTTATTTGCCTTGCCCTCATGGAAAGGGAACATTCTTGGGTGGTGGTGGAGACTCTACTTAAAAAGTAATAAAAATATGCACATTTCCGATGAAAAGTTCACTGTGAATGTTTCTGATGACGAGTCAATTTTTGTTAGAATTAAAATAACGATCAATCTTTTAGTTGATAATGACTAGTGAAAGATTATGATTCAACGATCAAGCACGATAATAATGATACATCTCATCTATTATATTGAATAAAAGTTAACTTTTATACACTGATAATATTAAAAAAACTTTTATAATAATTGAATCACCTAAAAATAATATAGATGGTGATGATTTAGAATATAATGACCTCATATAAATTGATTGGTGAATCAGTGAATATCAGAAGAAGGAAAAAAAAAGCAAATGAGGAAACATAAGTCTTTTTGTGGCTACTAATTAAATAAGAGAATGGCCCAAAGATAAGGTATAATTGGCTGCAAAGAAAATAATAATATATCAACTTATCATTACTTGTCCACATTGCCAAACTAATAAACTATCCCTACATCCTTGGAATTAAAAAAAAAAGAAGAAGATTATTTCAAAGTCTGACATGTGCCTCTTGGGTGTCATAATAGTGTATTTTATTTATGTCCGACGTTTGTTTTGAAGTTTCGATTAATTTAAATTCGAAACTTCAAAGAAGAAGCACTTTTAACTTTGAAACCTCTAATTAAAGATGTCATTGTTATGCACAATCCTAACTGGTGGGATCATTATAGTGTTGCCTTTACTTCATTTGACATTTGATATTCATCACTTTATTATCTTAATTAATTAAGAATTCACATAATATTTATAAAGCCCGAACATGAAATACTTGATTAAAGATTAAAAAAAAAAATCTATTCATCTCACAATAAATAATAATCCTCTAAGGCTGGGTCATCATAGTGTCATGCAAACTAAAGTACAATTTGAGACCTAACACCACTTTAGTAAATAATTATATGTTGTAACAACAACATTATCATTCCTCACCAAGAGAAAATTAAAAAATTAACACACAAATGACTAGAAAACAATGATGATGACGATTATGTAATTATATATATGGCAGTTTGAAACATGCAGCTAACTGTACAATCATTAACATTTTCCCAATTATTATGGTATGGTATGGAAGAGACTTTACTTCAAATCAATATTCACTTTACTATGAAATTTACTATGTAAATTACTAGAAATTATGAATTCAAAAGGAGATCTATAATAAAATTCTTTAACAAGTGTAAACAAATAGACTAATCCATACATATCATTAGAATATGTGTATCTCCAATGACATATATGCTTTCATAAAAAATCTCAATTTTTTTCGATGAAAAGCTATTGTAAAAAAGTTTATGATGAACATATTTTAAACATATTCCATTAGAAATTTCATCGAAAAATTGTGTATTTCTAATATTAGAGAAAAAATGAAACTATTACACAACAAATTCTTCATACACGAAAAGTATTTAGATATCGTATCATTCTGAAGTCGAGCTATTTTTTTAATTCATATCGGGATGAGTGGGGGTGGGGTGGAGAAGGAAGAAATTATAACTAACCTCATGAAATTAGGCAAATGAACAAGTCTTTCACTAAAATTCATTTCCAAATGATGTGATTTAAGTAGGCTGAATTCTTAATTATCAAAACTAAAAAACGTGCAGTAATAAAAACAAAGGAAATAAATTGAAGATTCTATGATAAAAATTATCTTGAGGGAAAGAATTTAGGGTGTCAAGTTCATTGAATTATCTAATAATAATACTATTAACAACAACAATAATGATATTATTATTATTATTATTATAATAATAAATAAATAAATAAAAAGTACCAAAATCACCTCATGGTCTTTTAGCATAAAATTAAATATTTAACTTGTAAGAGACTAAGAGTGCAATACTCTATTTCTTTTTTAGTTTTCCCATGTGATGTTCGTTATCCGTTTTGGGCACAATTAATTCAGATTCGTTCAGTAAAGTTCAACTTTGAGGGATAGTCCATCGAGGCGGTTTCATTTCGAGCATGAATTTTAGATCTTTGATTAATGAATTGTGCGGATAGCTATCTTTTAGCTATGTTCATCCCTTTTTAGTTTCTAAAAGCAATAAAATTATGAAGTTTATTACTCATATAATTAATAGTTTCTTGATATTAGATTTGTAAATTAGGCACAAACTGTTGGGATATATACTATTAACCATGTGTTAAGAAATAATATTTATTATAGAATAAATATTTGCTCAATTCTAATAGATCATATATTCGTTTATGGTGTCTGTTTACTTATATAGCAGATGATTTAGTGTGTAGAGTTTTAGCTTATACACAGAGGATTAAATCATCGGTTCTTATAAGTATAAAGTTTTTTGTTCACAATCTAGGATGGAAATTGGACATGCCATCGGTACGATTGTAGCACAAGATTATATGTAATTTATCTTGATTATGGGAACGGTATAGTTCCAACTTCTTGTGCTAGTGCATTTTGTATGTATTGAACGGGACCGAGTAGAGATAGTTGTTTTAGATTGACTGACAAAACATATTCTCTAAACTATTAAATGTACTTATATTCTTAATCCTGATATAACTGTTATGATCTGTATATATTAATTATCGTTTTGATTTATTAAAAGGTGAGATTCTGAGATGAGTCAATATGCCTGGTAAGTTGGATGATAATAATATATATTGGTGAAATAATAAGTTAGTTGATGGAATCCATGTCTCGTTATAGAGATTGATTGATATGCCTATTTGAGAAACTTATAAGTTTTCATCATGTCAAACCTTGCAAGTGGATTTATGAATCCGACACATGAAATAAGTTAAGTAGTGCTCTAAAGGAAATTAATCATTAAGTTAAATTCGTCAGTAATTTAATTTATTGATTAGTAT